GCTTGTGCTTTCCCATAACGTTTTTTTTTTTTCTTTTTTAATAGAGTAGAAAAGAAAAATCCAACCGACAACAAACTTCAAAAGGCTCGTCTCATCGATGAGGTGGCGAGATTTCACTCGAATGCCGGGGATGAATGAAAAAGACACCCACCGCGTCCTTGCACATGATTACTTTAGTGACAGCTGATTGGTACGGTTCTGACAGTACCTAGCTTATTTCTCAACTAAAGATTATCGAAACCATGAAACTGTTCTCACCGAAGCTACTAGGACCAAATTAGAGACTAGGAGACTGTGAATTTCTTTTTTTCTTTTTTGGTAACATGTTGAAAGTGGACGTTTATTTTCAATTGTGAACCTGGAGGACTAAGAACGTTCAAGAAAAGGTTCACCCCAGGTGCACCTTTTCCGGTCCTATGCCAGGTCAAATCGCTTTTGATTTTTTAAGTTCAGCGAAGCGATTGAACAACAGAGAATCAAACATAGCCAGAGGTTGAAGCTATTCACAACAATCCAATTTATACCTAAAAAAGGCTTCGCTGTATACCCTCGAAAACCCCCGAATTTTGTGATCCTGCTATAGCCGCTCATAAGGAAGGGTTCCCTCGCTGACCATGACCTTGACCTTTCATATGGAGCTCGGGAACTATGCTTTTGACACCAGATATGCCGATATTACACTGTATGTCATCACGTTGAGGCATACACCCTGGGGAGGCTTTCCATAGATAGTTTTTCTTTCGAGCGAGTAGCTCAATCCAATCTGGAGTGGATCTTTAGTAAGTTGGATTCCGGATTCCTAGTGCTGGATTCCGGATTCCAAAGCCCAGGATTCCGGATTCCACAAGGAAAAGATTCCTGGATTCCGGAATCCGGATTCCCTTACATGGGGCGATTCCTTGTTCACAATTTTGAACATCTTGCGCACATACTTTCTTTATGCGTATTATGTAGTCATGGCAGCCACTGTAGTTTCTGGAACATTTGTGCGGAATCATCTAATAGCCTGGCAGCTAGTATTAATCTACTCCAGCGTTTTTTAACTCTAAGTATTATCAACAGCTGGTTCAGATGAATTAAGGCATGGGTCCTCGTTACATGCGGGGTTTTATGACTTGATCTTGTTTTTTCCAGTATCTTTCTTCATTTTAATCTTAGACCGCTGTGTTTAAAACCAGAACCACTTTGGACCTTAAACACTACTTTTTTAAGATCACGTGACCAGCCACGCCCATAATTATGCAAAATTTGGACTTTGCAGATTACACCAGTTTACTGAATGCGACCACAATCGTTTTTCCTTCCATAATATTTCATTTACAGTCAAATACGCTAAATTAAACGGGGATTTGTCAAATGACCCATTCCTTCGTAATTATTAGATATTTTCTCTCGTCCCAGTCTCCCTCTTAACAAGAAACGTTATAGTTTGTAAAACGTAGATAATATAAGAAAACCCCGATTAATTCCATAAACTTTGTGTCAATAGTCATTGATAAAAAGTGAATTAAATTACAAGTGTTATTTATAAAGTGGTGTAAATCTGGATTGAAAAAAAAGTCAAAAATGGGTGTGGCAGGTCACGTGACTCAGATAATACATTAGTAATAATGAAAATTGAATGCTTACAGGGAGTAGATATTGAATTTAAAATATTAATGCGAAAGGTAAAATCTCTACTAAAACAGACCACCCCCCTCCAAATTTGCAGTGCCCCATTCGTTAATTCACCGGAGCAATCCGCATATCGTCTGGGCCACTCTTGTGAAACAGCCTTGTTGAGCCTCACACACAACTGGCTAAAAGCTATGGATAACAGTAAGCGTGTTGGGTCAGTATTTTTAAATCTAAGCAAAGCCTTTGACCTGATGGTAAGCCATCTTGTTATCTGAGATCGCTAAATACCACGTCAGCCAACCAACCTTGAGATGGTTTAGGTCTTACTTATGAGATCGAACTCAGACCTGCGCCATCTCTGGGGTATTATCTGACCCACTCACGTTGACACAAGGCGTCCCACAAAGATCGAGTTTAGGTCCCCTATCATTCTCACTTTACATTAATGATCTGCCCTTGTGTCTACCAGCTTCTGACGTTGATAAAACACTATGGACTTCCGATCACTCCATCGATAATATTCAGCACAATTTGCAAGACAGTCGTCTTGACTAAACAATGCCAGCAGATGGTTCACGTCAAATCAAATGGTCCCAGTAACGCAAAGAAGACAGAACAACTCCTCATTGTCACACGACAGATACTGCAACTTGTGAATCAGCCAATCTTGGATCTTTACTTGACTGGCAACCGTGTAGAAGAAGCAGTCACCTTACCTGGCACAGCCATATCGAATAATTAATTGGGAAACTGAGTTCAAGAATTTATTTACCTAAAAGAGCCAAAGGCTACCTCAGTCTCCACTGCAGAAAATTGTCATACAATGCATTCGTGAAGCCTATCTTTGAATACTGTTGCCCGGTTTGAGGTAATGCCCCAAACGACCGGCTTGCTGTATAGAGGGCCGCTGTTAATCAGGTGTTCTACGGAGGATGATACAACGTGTCTTTCAAGAGGTTTAGAGATTATCGGCAGGGCGGAAATATTCCTATAGTTATTCTTATAGATCGTTCAGCTTTAGCCTGCGCGCAGACGAAATTAAACTCTGGTTAACTCTGTCTGCGAAACAGCGCCGAAATCCTTGTTCTGGTCTTCCAGCTGTGTACCCAGATTTGAGTACGCGCCACGATTGGCCAGTTAAAAAAGGCCTTTGTTTTGTTTGTCGTGATCGCCAATCAGGTTGAAGGAGAATTCGAAACGCACTTCCGGTAATTCGTTGAGTCCGTTGGGGGTCCAGAACAAGGATCTCTGCGCTGCTTCGCAGACGGTACTAATCAGAGTTTAGTTATCGTCTGCACGCAGGCTATTCAACTTTTGATGCTAAACAAAGGGCGATCAATGCTGTTGTTCAACCCGAGTTACAACTTGTTGAACGTAATAGACTGAATAGAGCCCAACTTCGTTTCTTGAACAATTTTTATTAAAGTTCAACTCGTTGAATGAGAAATTTCAACATTCATTAAAATAATGGCATGACACACTGTTCCGTTCAACATTAATTTTGTTCATCACTGAAACGAGAGCTACAGCATTTGTTCGTCAATATACGTGAACTCTGTCAGTACGTGACTTAAAGGTCTAAACCGGATATTCGGTTAAACCTGATTAAATACGGAAGACCTAAGTACCATGACAGACTTGAGAGCCCGATAAACGTTTTAAAGGCCAAGTAAGAATTTATGAATTTATATCTGATGGCCATTATCCTTACCGGTTATCTGTAGTCCATCCAAACGTTTTCAACCTAATCAGTCGGACATCTACCTGAATGAAGAGTGTTTCTTAACACTTCGGAAGATATAATGATTATGGCACTTCTCTGGAAGACGAATTGTTTATTTACTGCCTTTGATACAGGGGCGGATCTAGGGGGAGGGTGCAGGGGTGCGCCCCCCCCCTCCCTGAGATGACCTGCGGTTTTCTAATACAACTGGTATTCTGCAAAAAAAAACTATGTGGTTTATTGATGTTGAAGTAGAGCAAGAGACGAGTGCACCCCCTCCTAAAATAAATCCTGGATCCGCCCCTGTGATACGTGTCTGCCTTCTAGCGCTCAGCGCTGTCTGGGCAGAAATACGGGGCTTGAATGAATTCAGCTCTTTAACCCATCCTCTTCTGCCTTTCTTTCAACATAGGTAGCGTCAGCCACAACGTTGCTCGTTAAGTAAACTCAAAATAACAGCCATTTTTGCCTTTTCGTTTACCTTTTGTTTTAAGTATATAAAATCATTGGTGAACGCATCTTAGGAAGGTAACTTTTAAATGAACAACAAATGTAATGTCATTTGTTTTCCTTAAAAATCACACTACTATAAAACGTTACTTTGACACACTGAGACAAATCTTAACAGAGGCAAACCGGAAAAGTGAAGATCTTCCTACTGACAATTTCTTCCTCAGAGTCTTTTGAAAGACGTTATAGAACAATTGTATATTCACCATTGTTTGAGCAGATCCGAAATCAGTCAGCTTTTTGTGTAAACAGAACGTTGTGAGACGAAAATCCTCTCAGATCAAGATCCTTTTTGTTTCTTTGTTTGATTTTCATGTGCAAGTGCATTCTCCTGTTCTGATGTGGTTGTTTTATATAATTCGAGGCAGAGCAGTCAGAGTTGGAAATTTCCTCCTTGGAACCGCTATATCTTTGAATGCTTGTCGCCATATTTTTTTTATTATTGTTATTTTTTTTAAGTGATCCTGTTAAGGAACCGCTGACCTCAAATCGCGGGTAGTCCAACTGAGGTGTGTGGGGCGGGGGGGAGAGCAGAAGGTTAAATTCGCACGTCGTTAAATCTTTATAATTCGCCACTTGCACATCTCCCATAATGCATCTTATTTGCCCCCCAAAATTTGTTTTCAGTTTCTCTTTGGACGGCTGTATTTGGGGCGGGGGCGGAGGGGGGGCAAATAAGTGCGTTATGGGAGATGCGCAAGTGGCGAATGTTTTTTAATGATCATTCATAGCATTAAATAACTAAAATAAGGATACATAAACAGGCTTAAACAGTATTAGTGGACTTTTGATTCCCATAAATTGCTAAATATTAATAATTAAGTTGCCCCAAAATCAAAAGTTGGTCCAAATGGCAAAAGTTGCCAGAATGTTGCTCCAAATAGCAAAAGCTGTTTTAACATTGTAAAAAGTTGCCGAGTAACTTGGGACTATAGGCAACATAGGGGAAAAAAAAAATGTGCATTGAGCTCTAAATTCCCTCGTAAACAAAATAAGAATCATGATGGTCTTTGAAGTGACGACTTTTAAACATCTCCATTATAGCTGCTAGCCAATCACACGTCTTCAAAGCCGCATAAATAATTTGGCCGCTGAAGCTTTCAAATCAGTATTTCGCGCAAATTAACAGAGTGCATAAATTGAATCTTCTTGACATCCTCGACTGAAGTTAAGATGTTATCGCAAGGAAGGTCATTGTTTTTCTTTCTCTCATTAATTGGTTTGGGACTACTGATATGTTCCCATAAAACAGGTAAGTAAGTAGCAGTGCTTATTCCACCCAGGAAATAAAACTACGTTATTCATGCCATTACCCAACGACGCGAGAGTATTTGTCCCATTTTGCTGACTTTCAATGGAAGTGCAAATTTTCTTTTCATTCGGTAAATTTAGAAAAGATTTGGTGAAAATTATTACGTACTGGCTTCGTCTTTTCTTCTTCTGATCAGTAATTGTGTTGTATCAAGGTGTCTCCCTCATCGCTGTTGTCAAACTATTTTGGCTATAAAAGCGAGAAAAAAGGGTTTTGGCGCCCAATCCCTATGTTACGTTTTCCTTTCGTATGTAAAATGCTTCATTTTACTTGTTCGTTTGTACAAAGCTGATTGAAATAATAGACTGTTTACTTTTAACATTAAACAAATCTGACTTTCTTTACAAAACTACAAAACGCAATGACACTTATTAAGTATAACAGGAAGCTGACAGTAACACGAACATGTTTTTAAAGATTTCACTCTTGAAGATCATCTTTAACGGCTCGCATGGAAGAAAAAAATTCAAAGAAATTCTGAAGATTACCCTGTTTATTGTATCGAGGTACGCTTATGCATCCTCCTCACTCGATTCGTGACTGACTCAGTAAACAGTGTACACGTGGACAAAACTTTGAATTTTGAACTTGTCTAATGGGTATCAAATCCTATACATTTAGAAAACCTAAATTAGGAAATATGTAAAGTACCTCTCGTGTCGATTTAGACTATTTGCCTGAACCTTGCACCTTAACGTAGAATTTAATTTATCTCAGTCCAATTTAATCAAAACTGCTGAATTTTTCGATTAGTGGAATTGATTGTAGCGACTTAGTAGATGTCAAGCTTTTTTAATGCAACTTAAATTTCTTGCTTTAGAATAATTATACTTTTGACAGTAACAACCCGCAACAAAGAAAAATTATCCTGCAAATCCAAAAATCTTATCTACTTGATTGAATGAAGCAAATGCAAATGCCAGTACATCAGACCAGGAGAGAATAAACGCCACAGTTAATGAACGATTTGGAGAACACCGCCGATCTATCTTAAACCACCATACACTCGGCGATCCAACTCCTGTCTCCTTCCATTTCAATCAGTCTGGACGGTCAGTCAACGAAGTTTGTCTCATTCCACTTGAATTCATACGCAGCAGCCGCGCGTGACGAAGTGAGAAAGGCTAGGGAGGCTCACTTGATACGCAAAGAAAAAAATTTTCTTCTCTGTAGGAATAATTATAGACATGACGAAGGTCGTTGATAAACGATACTACACTTTATTATTCCACTATTATGTCATTTTACCATATAAGGTCAACAGAACAAGCAAAATACGAGGCCGTAATACACCGTAGTGTCCTGGTTTAACCGGTTTACAACAGGGCGAATACCGGCGGATGCAAAAGGAGCAACTGTGGCTGACAGAATCAGGATGTTTTGGATACTCTCATTAGAAAATAGAAGCCAAAATACCATTTTTCTTTTGCAGTAAAATAATTAACCTCTCATTCAATGGTTTGGCATATAATACGCGCGAACATTTTGCTAATTGTTAACGTCATTCTCACAGACAGAATCAGGATGTCTCTGAATACTCTTACCAAAAAATAGAAGCCAATTGCCAGATAAGTTTTCTTTGTAGTGGAATAATAAACCTCTTATTCGATGGTTTAGCATATAATACGAGCGGACATTTTGCTCATTGCTCGTATTTTTCCTCGCCCCTGCGGGGCTCGGAAAAATACCACGCAACTCGCAAAATATCCCGCACGTATTATATGGTAAACCATCGAATAAGGTGTATGTTCCTAGTCACCCACACCAATCACCATCTTTTATTTTACTTTTATATTTCCAAACCCTTCTTTGTAACGGCCTTTCAGAATTATTTTCATTTTAATCTGTTTTAGCGCCCGAAGAAGGTTTTTTTGAAAAATATATATATATACCTTTTTTAAATTCTTTTGTTTACTTGTTCATTGCCTTGCCGTCAGGATCAGTCTGACGTTTTATATTTTGTACGTACAACTGTCAGATCCGGCACTTCTCAACGGTTTGTCCCTGTGGACTTGTTGCTATTTAATACAAAATATATGGCATTTTCCAGTCGACAAAAACATGAGATCGAGGCTAGATCTTGCAGCCAGCCAGCCTATCAATCCAATGGTGCCCAAATGGTGAAATCATATGGCATCTAAACTTAACGGCAAGAGAAGGACCTACCCCCATCAAAGAAATCGACATAGTTACACTGTAGTATGAACAAATTATACAAGTTAGGGCAAAAACAGGACATACAATTTCATTACTCACAACAACACTGACAGCGAGTTCCTTCTCAACATGCATATGCCTTGTGAAAAATACATCGAAGACTTCTACCGTGCGGAAATAGATTTATCTTAAGATGACATTCATGTTGCTTAACAACAAGTTTCTTGAATTTCGCCGAACAAAACATGAACATAGTGAAGAATCCAAACGGATCCACCTAGCCTTCTTACGAACATTTGTCAATGAGTAACTGGTTAACTTAATGTGGGCTTGAAAACTCTTTCCCTGTTGTTTGTTTCGATTGATTATCAACGAACAAATCAGCAAATTTGTACTTTCAGCGGTGATAGGAAACGTTCTCCCTTAAACTTAGCCAACAAACTAAGACTATAAGCCAATAAAAGCGTTTGTTTTTATGTGCCGCGCGTTAAGAGAATTTTGCTTTTTAATCACAATTCAAACTTTTTACTCCAACTTTTCTTAAAAGAATTGATTCATGTTTGTGTCCTTTCTAGCTGTCCAGTGACTAAGACGTATTCGGTAAGTTTAGAGAACGAGTTGCACATCACTTTGTTTTGTTTTAGTGAGAGAAAAATCCTCCAATAACGTGATTGTTTACCCCACTGCTGCGTTTTGGGCGAATCGCCATGGCGCTTTGCATTCGAACTGAGTACTACATCTAAATATACACAGCTAATTTTTCGTTATGTTGTGTAAAATTTATCCCCCTCTAACATATGTAAGAATTACGGTAGAGTAATTTGGAGCTTTTGTAAACGAAACGGCGAAACTAGAAGATTAGGCCATATTTAGTAGCAGCAGGAAGCGTTCAACACTTAAAAATTGAACTCAAAGTTAAGCACTTTAGGAGTACCAAGTTTGACTTACACGGCAACAGACATAAACATAATATATAGATTTAGCCAGGGCTAAAAGCGAAGCTCCCATTAATACATTTATAATTTAAATCAAACAATAAACTTGTGATCCACAAATCAGTTAACTTGAGGGCACATTCATGTGACTTTTGAGGGAAAGGCTAAGTTATTTTAGAGTGAAACATCTTACATCGAGTTGATAGCCTTATATGTACACCCAAAAAATAGCAAACATCTTCGATCACATTCAAGAGCCATAATGGCTCTTGATCACAGCTGTAGATAAGGCCTCGAAAACAAATTCTAGGAAAACAAATCACGCTGAATTTTTTTGCGTTCGACAGGTTTACTTTACAAATTCTTGCCAACAAAGCTCGGGGTCTGTAAACCAACCTTTTATACTTTTTATACATCACATCTGAGGTGAAACAGTACGTACAATTTATCATACAGACCTCGGACAGAATACGGTTTTTCACAATTTTTCAACACAAATTGCACTCAGTCAATTTTCAGGACGATCAATCGTGGGCTTTTAGCGAAACCGTTCAAAAAAATTTCCAAAATCACTCATTAGGCCGGCCGGTTCTCGTTTCTAGTGCGTGCTGTCAGTGTAATCGAGTGTTTGAATGAACTTTAAAAGAGTTACGTTTCAACATAATGACGAATTTATTATTATAATTTTTTGTTATTTAATGGTTTCAGTTACAACGATGTGTAATCTTATAAAGCGTTTGATACGCGCGACATTTTTTTAAAGTACTCCTGCAAGCGATGTTCATGAACGATGAAAACAAACGCCACGGACGAGCGATTAAAATTGCAAGAGAGTACTAACAATCGACAAAAGAAAGATAATTCGGTGAAACATTTACAGAGACAACAATTTTCATTCACGAAGACAAGTATTAAAGTGTCTCTAAAAATCCTGAGTCTGTAAACTTAAAAGTTAATTATGTTTTACTGTAATTTCAGCCGGCCTACCGGTGTTTGTTTTTTTCAGAGATGCCAGTACTTCTCGAAGCAAGAAAATCGCTCAAAGTTTTCTTGCTACAGCCAAATTTATAGCTAAATATTCTTCGGGACGTTTTCTTTCTATTTGCGGTGAGAAAATATATCTGAAGGCTTTTCACAGTTCTGTAAGCTTATATCAAACCTGATACTAGCAGGGGCACCCAACGGGAAATTTTGAGAAAAAGACCTAAAAACAACAACAAAGCGTGAATAAAGTTTTCTGAGACTATTTTAAGCATTTTGGGAGATTGCTGGAAAAAAATTATCTGTTCCTCACTCCCAGCAAGACTGATGGAAGAGTTGCCAGCCAGCAACCTTACAACCTGCAACCTGACTTACTGGGAAGTTTCATAGGGCACAATTCAGATCTTGAGTGGTAAGCAACCCATACAAGTAACCCGTAGCAGCTATTCTAGACTTCAAATCCCCTCTGACACCCTGAATTATCTTTTTCCCAGCAACACTTTCCTTCCAAGGACTATTATTTCTTCCACATCTCCCAGCCAGCAAAAATTTGCATGAAGAACAGATATTTTGAGGAACAGATCCATTGGGTGCCCCTGTACTAGGTCAGATCATTGACTCAAATCTTACAAACGTGCATAAACTGTGCTCGACTTCATGAAATTAGATATAACAAAAACAAACATCAAATACAATAATTACTCAGGCTTACTATTCGAGATTCAGTTCCTGAAAGATATCATGGAAGGCCACAGTTGCTTGAGACTTTTAAGCCCTCTTACGCATTAAGCAAGGTGGAAAACGAAAACGATGCAATCCGAAATCTGATTACCGGATTTTGACAAGCAACGCATTTCTCAACCAAAAACCCAATAAACAAACCAGCCATGAACAACAGGAGACTCTTGATAGCAGCTGTATTTCATTTTGTACATCCAGTGTAGAAGACACAAAACTCTGTTAGCTTCTGCTCTCATAGTAAATAACTTTCATGATGCTGCATAAATTTTCCGCATAAACTCACCTGTCAAGTTTTGACCAATCAGAGTATAAAAATTGGACGTAGAGCGTGACCAACGCGTGACCATGGTAAGAAAAGTTCTTCCCCGCCTGTATTTAAAAAAATGGTTGAATTTTCGCGTCCGAGGTCAGTTTGAAATCAAAATCTTAACAGTGCGGGATCATAGTGACATAAACACAACACATTTAATATGAATCATTGGAAAAAATGAACTTGAGCCTACGATCATTTGAAACTGGTAATTTGTCAGCGGATAACTTCAAAAAATACTCGACCTCGATGGGTGAACACTTGAGCCCGCGGTACGGTCAGGTGATACTGGTCAGCGGGTGCCCTGTTTTGACAGCTGTCAATTGACCACAACATTGATGTGCAATGTTTTTCCTTGGGCTCCCAAACTAGCTAGAAAGTGTGAGAGTAAACATTGGTTTCCCTGTGGTGCGGACGGACGGTCGTACGGTCACGTGATTACCAAATTTTCTCTAATGGGTAGATTACCACATTTACTTACCTATGGGGCTCCGCCCACGCGCGCGCGCTTCGCGCGCGGGTCGAGCTCCGCTATGAAACTATATTTCAATATTGTCATAAATGAACTTTTAGCGCTCCACACTATATCCTGAAATTACAGGAAAAAAAATAGGGTTTCCTGTTTGTAAAAAGGAAAATGTCGCTTTCAACACACCAAAACTGTAAGGGCATTCGTGCCAGTCCTACTCCGCGTCACACATCACTTGAAGAGCGGAGTGCTCGTTTCATCGCCAAACCTTTATTCGCCCTTCCTTAGATTTATATTTACGACTGAAAACCTTACTGTTACTCTACGGTATCTATGACCCTTTTGTGCACTCCAGTTCTCTTTCCACATATCGCCTTTATCAATTTCTCAGAAAAAAGTCGTGTCCTTTACCAAGTATTGGTGCCCGAAATCCTGAAAGGTCCCACAACGTAAAAAGAGCTGCCCGAGGTGGGCGCGCGAACTCAACATCTTTCCTGCGCTTTTTGTACGGGTGAATCGACCAATCACACGATGTGACGTATGGCAGTTTGTGACACAAGTGACAAAATTGAAAGTTTGTTGCAAAAATCAGAACTCGGGTGTACTTTGGGCAACATTGTGCCACAACTTGCAAGACGAAAATTTGTTGCGTCACAAGTTGAGCGCACAGGTGGTAATACGAACAATAACGCTTTGCAACTTGCAATTCGGCAAAATTAATATTACACGACAAGTAAAATGTTTCTTTGAGTGGTTTGCTTCTTACCTAAGAAATCGGAAATAACGCTTCCCGTTACTTCAGGTTTTCCACAAGGAAACTGTCATTGTGTTAGTATCAATGACCTAGCTGCTATCATTGAAGACTCCTTGTTATCACAATATTCTGACGGCGCAGTTAACTGCTGCTTCTTAAAATAACCACTCAAGCTAATGAGCAGGTTAAATGTAGGTTTCTACAACCTAGCAATATGGCTAAATGCATGCAAACTTTATTAATTAAATGATTATTCATATAGCTGGTAGTTAATACGATATTGTTAGCATATACAGCTAAATCCTTTCATCCTTAAAAAACTGCCAATTAAGGATCAATTTGGATAGTTAACAATTATTCTTTGAAATCGAGGTGAATAGTGGCAAAATATTTACCGAGCCGCGAAAGCGGCGAGGTAAATATTCCCAAAGCCACTATTCACCGAGATTGAGAAGAATAATTGTTTTAGTATATACACCCGAAGTGATCTCAACAAAATCAGAAAGGAAACCATTCAAAAGTAGGATTTGATTGACAGATCAAATCACGCGTAAGTTTAAAAATAGATCTTTGCAGAATTTTCAAACATGGCAATTCACAAGTTTACTCATTTCGCAAACAACAGCGTAATGGCTTCAATGGAATCGCTAAAAGTTTGAACTGTTTCCTTACCTGAGAAAAAAAGTAGAGCTGTGTTGTTTTCTGTTGACTCGCCAAGTTTATAGCCAAAAGGGCATGTTGTGTCGTTCTTCGCATGAAGTGCTGACAAAAATGGCGGCTCGGTTGCTCGAGGTAAGAGGTCGTCTTCCTGTATCATTCTTTTTCCTGTTTACTTGAAATGTAGAATTTCTGCAAACATTTCCTTTTAAATTTGTTTGTCATAAATAAACTTCGATTTTTGAGCCAAAATTTTCTTCTTAGAAAACGCTGAGTTCACGAAACGGCTTCTTCTACGCGAATACACGGGAGTTGTAAACAATCCATCGAGCACAAAACTCCTGCTACAGTAGATTGAAAAACGCCGTACTGAATCCTTCCAAGTCTTTTCTTGCCTTAAAAAAAGTCAGCCCTAGGATTTTGTCGACTTTTAAAAGATCGTTCTCTAAAAAAAACGGGAAAAACACCGAGCTCACACATTATCCACTCGCTAGGAGGTGAATATTGTTGAATAGTCCGAGATAGCGAACCAATCAGATTGCTTAAATCACCAAGATCACTGAGTGTGTATATACTAATTTCAGATATTTTTTATGAATAATTTGTGCATCTCTATGATTTATTTGTTTTACGTTTATATCAATCAAGGCGTAACACTCGTGCTAACTTAACTCATCAGCTGTATCCGTTTACTTTAAGTGCGTGTATTAATCAATGGTTCTGTTGACTGTAAAATTCAATATGTAGCCCTACAGTGGAACCTCAATATAACGAACCTCTATGGAAAGAAGTCCTCGGTATGAACGAACTATTTTTTGAACCCCAGTAATAGTATAATATATTTGTAAAAGAACCTCGATATGACGAAACCTCGGTATGGCGAATAAATTATGCCAGTCCCTCGGCCCTTCGTTATCTCGAGGTTCCACTGTACCTATACGAATCTCTTCAATTCAGGTGCCCTTCGTACTCGCTGCCTCTTTACGCATAAAGATCCTCATTGTCATGGTAAGTAATAAATTTATTACTTTATGCTTCGCTATATTCTACTGCCGTATTTTCAAGGTCCTCTTGTGTTTCTTCCCGCCTAATTCAAGCCATTCAAAGATATAATATCATACGACAGAATTTTTTTCTGGGGCCGACGTGCAACTCGCATATGTTAGGCTTATCAAGTGAGTTGCATGCCAACTCACGCCAAAATTTTGCCTCCCATTTTTTCCAAAATGATATTCCCTTTATTAGCTGTTTATTTCTTCGACGCGTTTTGGCGCCCCTTTTATTGACAACGTGTTTTAACGTACGAAGTTGCATGATGCATAGAAAAGAACATAACCAGTTCAGTTTACTCCAGGTACCGAGTTAATAATTTGGCACAAAAAAATTAGTTCCACACTTTATTTATTTATTTTTTCTATTTTTTTTTTCTACGAAAACGTTAGTTTCAATGGTATTTCAAAGAGCCTTGCCTCTAAATTTTCAGCTTCCGGTAAACTCCCGGTGTTGTTAAAGTGCAGGCTTCCCGGAAAATGGTTTACCATCGAGAATATCAGTAAACTGAACTCTGAAGGAGGCTGGGATAACGTAAATGCTGCAAAGAGCGTTGCAGTGACTCAGTGTAAAAGATCTCGGACTGCGAGCTCTAATGGCGGTGCTCAATGTGAGGTTACCGGTACTCTGCCAGAGATCCAAGAGGCAGATGTAGTCAAGGTGGACTATTTTTGCTGGGAAATAGGTGAGAAAATCGACCGATATTCGTTAGCTGTTTAGTTCCTGAAATGAATAACCAATTATGAAGGTAATTGTATATTGTCCTTACTATATGTCTTCTCATTGGCTACGAGGCTACAGTTTAGTTTTGGAAATCAGCGCTACCTACAGATTGCCATTAACAGTTTGCTGTCTGTTAGCAGATCACTGGCTAATCTGCTGGCCCCAGTTGGTCAAACGGTGGATAACGCCATCCACTGGAAAAAATCTCTACCCAGTGCATGGCGCTATTGGTTTTCGTACTACTCATCCACTAAACAGGGATTTATCCGGTGGAGCGATAGCGCTAATCCAGCGTTTGAACAACCGGGGCCAGGTTGCGGGCTCAATGCATGATTTACAAAAGCAATGTCAATCTGTGTTCTGTGCGACGGTCAGGTGTTTGCCTTTTTATTATTTTTTTTCTTCAAAACAATATCTAACAAAAAACAGTTGCTAGATTCAGTTTTTGCATTGTGATATTCGGAATAGTCAAGATCGCTGGGCGAGGCTGATAACACTTACCTCGACTTTGATTATTCCGGATATCACAAAAACTTCCGCCATCCAACAATTGTCTAAGAACATTGTCATGTTATTATAACGCACCAATAAAGTGACAATCTCTTTTGCTTTTTTTGTTTTTTCGTTTGTCTTTTAAAGTAAGCAGATAATCATGAACTGGGAGAACCTCTTCGATATTGTATTGTGTAAGGTTTTGTTACAAGTCAAGAATAGTTTAAGTTTGTTTAATATTATGATGAAAGCCACTCTGCGTTTTGAAGTCATTATTTAAGTGACACCCCTCTCTAGCTGCACTTTGCTGAAGACAAGACATGCAGTGAATATACCTCTTTTATATTTTTAATAGTTCAGAAACCTCTCCGCCCGGTCTCGCCTCGCTCCTCGCCACTACCTTGCAGTGTTCGCAGGCTATACCACCACTAAAACATGCTTAATACTACTAAGAATTTCATCACGCCAGTAGCTCCAATCATAAGTTATCCCAGCAAATGAGACTGCAAGCAATTGCAGGTCAGAGTAGATACAGGCCGTAGTCCAGGTTAAGGTTATTTGAGATAACTTAAATTTAAGATTTTACTGGTACTGGATGTCGGAAGCGCCTCTTGAAAACATAATGAAGCTGAGGCTACGTTCTGGAGCACAGAACCGGCAAGTTAAAAATTCGTGCATTTTGGGTGTCCTGTTCACACGGAACCATGCTAACATAACGAAAATTTAGACACCTTGCCGTTGAAAAATTTGAAAGCCAGAAACGTCAAATTATTAGCCCGCAATACGGTAAAAAAATTTGATCGGCGTAATGTGAACACCATGCGCGACCAAGATGCACGACCGTCTAAATTTTTGTACGGCAAAGGCGTGGTTACATAGATGCGAGAAACGCCATTTTGGATTTGCTTAAGTAGCGCTCGGTGCATGAATAGACGGTAACACGACTTGACAGAAGAAAGTTAGAATTCAACCTTTTTAGTCAGTTCCGTGTGAACAGAGCGAAAATATTTAATGGTTCCTTGAGAACGAAGAGTATGGTCAAATGTTTCATCCGTTCGCATCTGAGAGTAGCCTAAAATTCATCACTTGGTGCTTTTCTTTACAGATCCAGATTTATTGGGTGGTTTCGAGAAGAGGGATACAATCTGAAGTCAACATTATTCACTGACGATATCCTGTAATTATGGCTACTCTTTGAGTTGTTATAATTTCTGACCTAAAGAAATTAAAAGAATCTTTCTCAACAGTATGTTAAGTCTATCCTGGTTTTTTTAAACGTTATCTTGACATTATCTAGGAAAAGTCAGTGGTAAGGCAGAATTTTTCCTTATCACTCACTACCTCTCTTGTCAAATTTCCTTTGAGGTAAATTTAAACCTCCCGTCAAGCTCGTTATCAAAATTGTTCCGGACTCCTAACTTAATATATAAATTTAGCCAGGGCTAAAAGCGAATAATAAATTAAACAGGGACCGCAGAGGGGGAGGGGCTGGTAGGGCTATAACCCTACCACTTTTATTGCTGGGATTTAGTTTTATAGGGCTCCAGTTGATATGGAAAAAATTTCCGTGGAATTATTGCTGGTTTGCAGTGTCACCCCATTCAAAATAGATCAAAATAAAAATCAAAACCTTTCAATAAATTAAGTGCGGAATCTGGGAAATGAAAGGAGGTACATATACAAAGACCCTGGCCAAGATTCAGGTCAGATGAATATTTCGTATACGAGATATTCGAAGAAATGTTTTACCCAAACTTATAGAGATTTGTATGGAGACGCCATGCTGGTGCTCACCTGGATGAGCTCCAACATGGTGGACGGAATCCAACAGAAACATCTGTTAGCGAGTTTTGCTACAAGAGCGTGAATTTATTCTTCGAGAAACTCATGAACATTAAAGTAATACTTTTCTAATACACGAACTGTTTAGAGAGCAAAATTTCCTGAAATAAGTCGTTTTTTTAACCTACATGACAGCTCTCTTGGCCATCATGTAGATGCCGCGTCACGCAAAAGCTTAGAAATTCAAGCGTACGCTATCACAAAACCAAGAACCCTTTTGAAGCGAAAATGTGTATGAAAATTAGTTGTTAGCTGCTCTAATACATCGTAAAAGTAAAATCTCGGTAGGATCGACAGTATTTTGGTTTGAATTTTAGTGACGTTGTGTGAAAACCAACAATTGGACTTTGCCCTATGAAAGAGTGGCCATGTTTGCTTGTCCGAGCGATTACAACTCGATGTGCGAGGAAGGATAATAAGATGTAAGGCCCAAATGGAGTGATTTGACTTTTTATCTGCTTTGCATATTGGATAGACTGCGAGCAGTCTCTCTTTTTCTTCCGGTTTAGTAAGGGGAGTGCACGTGCGCGCGAGCGGCGAAGCCACGAGACACGCGAAACGAGGGCGGCAGCCCATTTGCGTGTCTAGCGTTTTGCTCGACGGACTACAGAAAAAAGTGAGACTGCTGGTAGTCTGCATCTTGGAGAGCACCTTTATTACCACACCGATAATCTATCTAAGGATCTTCAGGGTACTAAGATGGCTGCTGTCAGTGGACAACGCCTGACAAATCTAACAAAGGGGACGCTCACAAAAATTCGTATTGATCAAAGCTTCGACCATTTCTATGCTAATGTTGCCCGCAAGAGTGAAGGCCTGCTTGGTGAACCAACGCTTCCAAGAAAACGACACACTTCGGCCAGACTGGAGGTTGGTGCTAGAGATCACTTTGTACGAGCCTATTATGAGGCTATTGATCTTATCGTCAGGGCTATCTATCAGCGCGTTAATCAGGAAAGCTTCAGCTGTTAAGCCCAGATGGAGACCCTCTTGCTTAAAGCTGCTATAGCTAATGGTGACGACTATGAGGCAGAGTTCAGTTTCTTGAAGTATAATACAGGGAAGATGTTGCAATACTGGAGCGCTACCTAGGCAACTAAGTACTATGGAAGAAGGAGAAGATATCATGTTTTGACGAAATCCTGTTGGCGGTGTTAAAGTTTCCAGAACCACAAAAGAAGCTAATTCAGGAAGTCCAAACTATCTGTAAGCTGCTTGCTGTAAATCCTATTACCAGCGCGCTGCTGGCGAGGGTTCATTCTCATCCGTACGTACGGCGTCTAAAGACGTGGCGTCGATCCAGGATGGGTGATGAGAGGTTTAAACAACCTAGTAGTAACGTTGAATGTTTAACGTTGAGAACAGACAGTGTCTCTATGGCTGACGTCGCACAGGAGTGTTTCCATCAATGAGGACCGCAAGAGAAATTTCGGCACTGCTGACAACTTTAAAGTAGCAATTTTAGGAAGGTTTATTCAACATATTGGCTATACTGGATACTATAACACGTGACGACGTTGATGTTATATTTGTTGAGGCTGTAAATAAGATGGCGCGCAAATGCTAGACTGCGAGCAGTCTCTCTTTTTCTTCAGATTTCAAGGCGGTAAGGGGAGTGCACGCGCCTGTGAGCGTGTCTCGGGAGTTTTGCTCGACGGACCAAGAGAAAAGAGAGACTGCTCGTAGTCTACGCAAATGCAAGATAAATGGCGAAAGACTGAACTTAATGTTTCTTTGTATTGGCAAGATTTTTTAGCCTACCACTTTAAAATGTTCTCCGTGGCCCTGTAAAATCGTGTAATGCTAAGCGGCGAAGGCATGCAACGCCGGAAAATGGTGAAAAACAACTATAGGTCTAATTTACGCAAAAGCAACTTTGCACGTGCAGCACACTTTTTTCGTACATTTCTTTACCGTTGTTTATGCACGACTTCAACGTGAAACTTCAAGAAACTTCTTAGTTACACGTTTTATGGAGGAAATGTTCACTTTTTTTCACTGCCACTCATTTTCACCATGCATTGGTGGCCGCTAGCATTTCTCATTTTGTCACCGCCGCTACAAAATTTTCACGTTGTTTTTCCAACAAATAGATGTCGTCTTCGGTTTTTTATCTCTCGCTCTCAATCCCTGTCGCCCTTTTTCTCGTTGAGCTTCGCCAGCCCACTTTCTCTTTTTCTCTGTCTTTCTCTTGCTCTATATTCCAAATTTGTGGACATGACAATTTATCTACTCTTAATAATTTAGACAACACGGATACAGAAACAATTTTCGCTTTCCATTTTCGTCTTTATTGACTCTTTTGTTGTCTCTGCTTTACAAGACGTCGGTGGCTATGTGATTTCCCGCCCAAATAACCTCGAGTTGCATTTGGTTTGCCATACCTGTTGATTGAGTAATTTTACATTGGTATGCCTGGTGCGGACAGACGATCTCTTTGGCGGGTGGTCGGTGTGCGGTCAAGTGATTACCAAATTTTCTCGGATGGGTAGATTACTTCATTTTCTTACCCATGGTGCTCCGCTGGCGCGTTTCGCGCGTGAGAGCTTTGCTATAATTCACAGTTTTAAGGAGCTTGTTATATACCAATACGTGCTTTTAAGGCAACAATTTCATTTTCAAACGATAGTTGGTAAATTATTAAAAAATGTATGAGTACAGCGGAAACTCAATCAGTAACGAAGGCCTAAGGGACTGGCATAATTTATTCGCTATACCGAGGTTTCGTTATATCGAGGTTCTTATCAGTTTCCATTTATTTTACTATTACTGGGGTTCAAAAAATAGTTCGTTATACCGAGGACTTTGTTCTATGGAGGTTCGCTATATCGAGATTCCACTGGATTAAGGAGGGTACTGGAGCCATTATTGCGTGAACAACGACCAAATGTGCCAAGATTTCGTTGTTCGCTTAAGGGAGGTGGCGCTTACGAGAGCTAGGCAGTGTTACTGGGGAAACCCTGTTTTTCTCTCTAAGTCACGCGCGTGAAAAAGGTTGCGTTTCTTATTTTATGCAGAAGAACTCCGATTTCTCAATTGTTTTTCAAGACTCTCGATGACCTGGCCTCACTTTCCAAGCCAAACGCTGTATATATGCATTTAAACACTCTCGCTATTACAAGATTTAGCGCTATTAGTGTAGAGAGCAAGGGATAGTGGAAGCAAAAGTTGCAATTTACGGCGCTTTTTAAAAACAAGCGAACTCTGAAGATCAAAAGTCGCCTTTGCAATTGCGTTGCATGAGTCAATACATAGTATAGATATCCACAGTAAAATACAATACAATAAATTTTGTCCAGTTTCCCTTGTTTATTTTCATTCTAGTAATTGTACCTAAATTCCATGTTTACAGTTCTTAGATCCGCTACTATGTTCCTTTTTCTAACGGAGTGTCATCTGCCTTCTTTTTTCTTTTATCCCGGTGACGCCCGATACACGAATCTGTGAAAGAAAATCAAAAAGATCTTTTAACTTTGTTGCAAAACAACACTGATTGGCTTGTCATAAGCCGGCTTTCAAAAAGACACTACTTCGATGATATTCAAAAATCAATATCAAATCAACACTTATATTTTACTACGCTAACCACACTCAACAAAAGCTGGTTTCCTAGTGGGCGTAGGCAAACACGCATTACAAGCAAATACATCGAAGTATTAATTACGTAAAAATGTAATATATAATATAGCTAGTTTTACAATATAATTATGTTGGTGGGAGCTTTGAAGAGAGATCTCACAAGTTTAAAATATTACACACATACAAATTAATGAATCAGAGCGAAAAAAAGAGGCAAATTTGCTTTTAAATTCGGACAGCGATTAAGCTGTTTTTGCCTAATAAGAAAGATTATTCCAGAGCATAATACCACTATACTTTAAACTACGATTGAGGAAATTAGTCTTTGACCTTGGAAGTGCTAGATCAGTTTCAAGATTCCAAAGACTGTAGTTGATGCCGGTATCGTTGAGATTTGTAAAGGATTTGTAATACTCCCAAACATTTGTTAGAGGTTACATGCGAAACAATATTATTGTCAATGGATAAATGAAAGAATCAGGTAAATCTTTAGATTTATATTTTAAGTTATATGTCGACCCGATGAGCATTAACTTACCGTAAAATTCCGAAAGTAAGCCCCGGGGCTTATATTTTTCAAAGGCCCTTTTGAGGGGCTTATATATGGAGGGAAATTTGGGTTTTGAAATCGATTGAGCTATCCTTATAGTTGGAATGAAATTTACCGTTTTTGCTTTGTTTTACTTTGTATTTGTGGGCAATTTCCAGGTACAAGCCCCCGGGGGGCTTATA